GTATCTTATGTATTTCTGGGTGCTGCACACATCCACACACACTTAACACATCCTTGCACCACAGTGTAGGGTGTAGGGTATAAAATAAACTTAAAAGTTATTTTCAATGGTTTGAAAACTAATAACACAGGCAAGATATAGCCATAAAGTGATTGATGGATGCTTTTCTTTGTTAGTTTACTTATTTTATTAATTGATTTTTTCCGCAGTTGGAATAATTGTTTGTTACATACAAAACAGTTTTATATGTCTAAGATAAGTAATATTAGCAAAAATATTTGAAATTCAAATGATTTCTTTCGCATCGAGATAAATTAAGATTTCTTGAAAATATTCATCGCGTGCTCGTGTTAATTCAGCATAATATGTATGTATTATGTTAATGTTTTCAAATGCAATTCCATTGTAAAGCTAGCTTCGTTGTCGTAAAAGCCATGACGTGTCTTTCTCATTACTCTCAACCAATCGCTCAGAAAAACAATAAAGCGCTTTTCTCCTTTTTTTTTTTGAGACTTTACTGAAATCTATAGGATGGGAGATCAAGTTGCATAGTTTCGCTAAATTCTTATTGAATTACGCTTATAAAGACGTTTAGCGATAGTAAATGTTGAAAGCAGTTTCTGTATCAAAAATAATAAATGTACGGACTCTAGAGAATTGTGCCTTTAAAATGTATTCAAAATTTTTTTAACTTTTTTGATTTTATTATTATTATTATTTTTACTATATTTTTAGACTAATGAAATAAATTCTAAGATTAGAAAAAAGACACTGAGCACTAGCAACACAGGCTATCGGCTCTAATTTATAAAAGTACTGTGAGGGCTATTTTGCTCGAATTTGGTGCTGGGGTAGCTCAGCGGCTCCAGCTTATACTTCACAAGAAATTCATAGCAAACTTTGTCAGTTGTAAGAATTGAACACTTTATTCAATATATTTCCTTTACTTCACTAACATAATCCAAAAATCGTACTTCCGCGAGCGAGCCGTCGCTCTCGCTGTTCGCGACCGACTCCCCTTAACTTAGCCTCTTAACCTTCCCTTTCTAACCTACCCTTATCCAACTCTTATCTAACTTATTCTCTAACCTATTCTCTATCCTATGCTCTAGCTTATTCTCTAACTTCTAGCTCTCTAGCTTACTCTCTAACTTACTCTTTGCCTTATGTTCTAGCTTATTCTCTAACTTAATCCCCAACTTATTATCTATCTTAAACTAGCACTCTCCCCCCACCAGAGACGGAGAAACTGTGAGGCCAAAACGTGGGACGACTTTGGCTCCTCACAGTACTTTAGATATTGAGTCGAGGAGTTTTGATAAAGTAATATATTGTGTTGACATTCTGTTCTGTAGCTGATTGTAGAACGTCCATAGGGTTAATTGTTCCAAATGCAATACTTCTAGCCAAGGTAAAGTTAAGGCAGTCACAGAGAATGAACTTAATAGTGAGAATTTGTCCACAATTGCAGATTGGGGAGGAAGACTTCATCAAGGTCCATTGGTGAGTTGCACTTGTATGACCAAGCCGAATTCTCGAAAATATTTGGAGATTGAATTTCTCGGCATTTGTTGGATATAAAGGTGGAGTTAATTGAGGGTTAATGGAAGAGTAGTGCTGATGATGGTATTGTACATTTTTTTCTGTAATTCTCTCTTTAACTTTTCTTCCAATGTATTCAACTTTTCCAAGACATCATCCATAATTAGAGGATACTTTGCCGCTCGATCGGCCTGCTCATTTCCCAATAAACCGATATGACTAGGTACACATAACATTTCAATTTTTTCGCCGGGTGTTGTATTGACATTTCTTAATTTGTCGATGGTGCCACAACTCAAAGTCGAAGCATTCCGAATAGTTTTTAATACAGATAAACTGTGAGTAACAATGACGGTCTTGAGATCGTTTTTATGGGAAAGGTTCGCAGCGTGAAGGATAGATGTGGCTTAGGTTGTAAAAGTTGAAGTACTTTCGTGAAATATGTGATTGAGATGAACCTGTCCTGTAGCATCTATGACGGCACAAGCAAGTGGCAGACCAGAAGATTTTGAGCCATCTGTGTATAAAAGATTCCAACCGTTACTTTCCAGTACTTGGGTTTTTTCAGCTATTAGACTGCTGAAGACGTAATTTGGATTTAACACCAAAATAGCGGAAAACTTTTAAGGGAATGCTCAATTCCCTTGCGACGTAGAAACAATAGTCAATTGCAGATGGTGACTTTCGAATTTTCTTTGCAATAATAATCTCCGAATACCAGTCTTCTCATATTGAAACGGCTTTGAACTTCACTAAGTATATGTTGAACCGTAGGATGTTTTCCACAATTTCAAATTGCAGAAATAGATTTCTTCAGAATCCATTCGTGCTTTGCAATGGTATGGCGAAGCTGGCTTCTTGCAAGTGTTTTGATCTTGATTTACTCGATGTTGGTTGAATACAGTTTTAAAATGAAATTAAGCTTAATATGCGAGTAGTGCGGTCGGCACTAATGTCGATTTCCTTCGCGAATTTTCTTTTTCTAATATATTTTTCAAGGTGAATCTTTTTTCATCTGTTCGACCATTTTCCAAGAGTATCAAAGAAGTTTTTGTTAATACATATATTACCGAAAAATTTTTGTAGGATGGCCATTTTGACATATAACACTTGATGTTATCCCGGTTACTGATTTGCCATACGCTCGCCAGGCTCCACCCACCTCTCTATCTCTTTTTGTTTCATCACTTCCTTCTGATCGTCATGCTGCTACACGAATAGGAGAATTGGTTATATTAAAAAAAAAATGGATTCCTTAATAGTTATCCAACATTTGTATATCATCCTACGAACTTTTTGAATGATGTGTTATATAATTTTTATTAGAAAACTTGAAAACTAATGGGTAATACAAAATTTGTATAATTGATACCACAATTAACGAAACTGCCGTGAAAGCGAAACGTTAACCAGCAAATAAGGCAAAAAATTACGAGGAAAGCAGATCAAAACATGCGAGTGTAGTAAAGGGTTTATTTCGAATAATTGAGGAGAGAAGTGTAAATTAAACTCGTATGTCTTTGTTTAATCAACTTCCGTTTTGGTTTTCCTAAAGAATAGATAGGAGAGGAGTATAACAAAAAATAATTCTTATGGAGATTTTATTTTTCGGTCAGCGGATGTGTCGGTATGGACGACGATTATGATGAGCTTTTAAAGGAATCTCTCTCAAATCTACCTTACATTATACGTTGCAAAATCTGTTAGCATCCGTTCTTACTTCGTAATGTTTACGTCCGTGTAGTTACGTATGCGTAAGCTTACGTTTTAACTTCTTAGATAACCCAATAATATCGCCTACTATGTATCAGATAGCTTACAATGTATAACTTTACGCATGGTTGATGAAACGCACCGATACAATTTTTATACCCAGTCCAGAATGGCTACGCTATATATAACGTAGCATGTAATTTTGTTGCTCCCTTTGTAACGTCAAGAGACTCATTTTTAGAAGTTTTATATCGCATTCGTTTTAGATCGGCAACGCATGTGCGCTTGTATTTCGATCTTTCGTCGCCACTCGTTTAAATCTTATCCCTTACACGTCTATACGTTTAGTTGAACTTCTAAAGATGCGTTTGGTTCGTCCATGTATCCGTTTGCTCCTCTGTCTCTTTGGGTCATGTGTCGCCTTCTTCCTGCATTCATTCATGTTTTCCTCCCTTCCCGTTTTTCTGCCGATTCGATTGTTCGCCGCACTCCGTTTTTTTTGTCCAGTCATCCAGCCTGCTAAGGAACTTATTTATCTCTTAATCCATTCACTTTTAACCTCATCGTTACTACTTTTATCTGTCGTTACAAAAGTCTGTTTGCGCTTCCGTCTGTCCGTATACCAGACTGTTTGTATCTTTATCCGCTCGTTTAAATTTACGTAGTTTGCTCCACATATCCACTTGTTAGCTCTCATTGTGCTCAACTCTCCAATCGTCCGATCGTCATCCTGTCACCGGTTTCTCTATCTATTCGCCCGAATTGTTCATTCATGTGCGTGTTCTATCGCTGTTTTTTTCGTACAAATGCTTGTCACTCACTTCGTCCAATGTTACTTCACTTCGTTCTGTTTTTATTTATTTATCCTTCCACTGCTTTCTTTTCTTTTCCCTGTCCCTCGTTTCTATATGATTGAATATGAAGATCAAATTTGAAAGCATTGCCCTCGCAAACAGCAGAAAAAAAGTAAAGAGAAAGTTTTTGCTACATTTTCACCGATGACCGCAATATTCACATCCGTCTTGAAAATCAAGATAATCACGCATATGCTAAGCGAATTTAGTAACTATGCCTACTGATGTGTTTCCGTAAGGTGTTGGGTGCGCAAGATTCGTTGCAACAGATATATAGATTTTTCTTTTATCTTGTTTATAACCGTGGTTGGAGTTCGCAGACCGCAAATGAAGAAAAATTTTAGCTAATATTCAGAAATCAAAAGAATTGAATAAACTATGAACAATGTGACTGGTAGCAAAGTAAAACGTGAGGAATTTTAAAATTACTTTATTTTTTTTGGGAAAATTGTAGTGTTAAGGTCAACTCAGTTCAAACTTGAAGCTAAGTTAGCTGTGGTTAATGGAAAAGTATTTTTTCTTTCTTTCTTTCTTAAATATAATATAAAAGGGATTAAGCAGAGGAACTTCACTTGTGAACCTATGAATATAAGTCTTACTTATATTATTACTTTGTTGCTGCTATATTGTTGTTGTTGCTTTTATTGTAAAGAGCTCAAGTGTGAATGGCGGTTTATTTAATAGCTCGAGTTGAAAGAAAAATTAAGCAAAGTTGTAGGAATTATGACAATTATTATACATACAAATGCAAAGTGAAAGTGTTTCTTAATAATTCATTATGCATAAGTGCTTACATATACATATACATATATATATATATATATGTATACATATGCATATACAAATATAAAATATAAAAAAATTTCTTTTCTTGTTTTTTTTTTATTACAGATCGATGAAAATTCTTTGCTAAAACATTTGAAGGAACACGAGAAAGAGCTTATATTTGGCAAGAATCGTGAAAGTAAGTTGGAAGCAATAATAATTAATAGATCTTTTTTTTTTAATTTATTTCCTCCCGGATTACAAGTATCTGCTCTGCAATCCTCTTCCTCCTCGTTCTTACAATTTTACAAATTTTATTGCATTTACTTGACATATAAACTTGAACTACTTAACGTGATGATCTTCTCTTCGTCTTTTCCTTCCTCCTCTTTTACTTTTTTTTTTTTTTGTTAAATCTCTAAAACATGCACATTTTACACTTGGCGTTGTGCCACCAACAACGCCAGCATCACCATCGTTACGATCATTACAGCAACTGCACCTTGAGCACTTGCACTCATTTGCATTAAGAAACAAGACCCGATTATTGTGATTTTTTATGTTCGTTTTTCCTTTTTTTTTTTTTTTTTTATATGAAAACACACTTTTTCTCTATGAATGACTTTGCATTTTTGCTTTCCAGAGCGTGCAGTAAAATTAGTGCATTTAAGTTATCGTCCAGATGCCGAAAAGTTACAGGCGGTTAACGTCAAACATACGTCAGCTTCTTTGCATCGCCATAAACGTTCGGCTGCTGTGGAAGAAACTACTGCCACAACATCACAACGTCATAGTGGCGCCCAACAAATGCCAGAGGTTTCACTTAAAATTAAAGGTAATATTAGACGAGAGTATGAGTCGGTATTGTGGTACGGTGAGCGATATCTTCAATTCATTCTCTGTCGAGTTTTTCTTTTCTTGCATTTGGCTAACATTTGTTTTTGTTTAATTCTTTTGTTTTTGTTGCTGTTATTTTTCTATTGTTATGCAGAGAAATTTGGAATGTTTATCTTTAATTAACACTTGACCCACACATTAACATGAAATTGATAGCTATAATGTTCCACTATATATATAAGAGAAATTGAAGACATATTTTAGTCTGCATTTGCATTTAGAAAGAAGTTTCGGTTGTCTATTGTTTTAACATAAGTGCCTTCTAGAGAAGCAGAGAGAGAGAGAGCAAGAGTGAGAGAGAAAGGAAAGAGAGAAAGAGAGAGAGAAAGAGAGAGAAAAAGAGAAGAGAGAGAGAAAGAGAAGAGAGAGAAAGAGAAGAGAGAGAAAGAGAAGAGAGAGA